TACTCTTTGATGTTTCATCTCCTTCTTTTTCCATTTATTGTTGTATGATAATGTTTTATGAATCATTGTGGGTGTTAAACGAAGAAAACTAATTAGAGCCAAGGCTGTTGTCACCTCTGGTCGAGTCTCCATTGAAAAGCAGTTCAATATGCTGTCGCATAATTATAAATTATGTTTCTAGGTAAGAAAGGTAGAAGCAACATGTGCCCACAGGGTCCAGAGAGCTCACAGAATTGCCTCCTTTTTTTCTTTATGTGTCCGTGAAGTCAGAAAACATTTGAAAAAGATCCAAGCATCCTCCTGTGCTATAAGATGTTTCCGAAAATTGTGGTAATCATGGTGAAGAAAGAGATTAAAAAAAAAAAAAGAAAAAATTTAACAAAAATGCATATTCTAAGTTTGTTTCAAAATTTTAGGAATATTTTTGAATGCGCGATTCAAATCTGTTTTGCATTTATTCATTTATTCCTTTATTTCAAAATCGATTGACCTTGTCAAGTTAAAGTCCTCTTTAGCAAGTCACTTCCGGTACTACTAGCCCCTCCCCCGAAATCCTGCCAAACAACCGGAACTGCGTCAAACACGTTGTGCGGTAACGATGTTGAAGTCTCATGAGCGGTGAAAAGTGTGCCGGATTTATTGGACTTTATGATCTTGGTTCAGGCTCGTTTAAAATAAATTTCGAGGAAATCAGGAGAATTCAGACATGTTTTGGGCTACTTTGGAGCTGTTGAGCAACTACCTGCCCGAGATCGGACTGACTGGTGTTTACGCATTTGCCACATTGACCTTTATTGGATTCTGTTCCGATCGAATTCGGCAAAGAAAGAACCAACAAGACGCTTTTGATTCCGATGATCAAATTGGAAGGCGTCTCGGAAAGTTTGAAACCATGATTGACGACCTTCATGAGTATGGTGGAAGTTTGCAAACTGTTGTTCTTTTGCTGAAGTCCAAAGTCTCCCTCCAACCGACCGTTGTGCGGCAAGCATTGGAACGCTTGCCGAAGAAACACACCATCCTTCGCATGCGAGTCAGAGAAGTTCCCGTACACAGTAGAACGAAGGCAGTGAAGTGTTTTATTGAGATGGATGAACCTGACGCGATAGATTTCTACATCAACAGTAAACAAGCTCGAAATTGGGAATCGTCGTGTGAAAAGGAACTCTCGACTCCATTCCAGACCTCCGACGGCCCTTTGTGGAGAGCACGTTTGTTCAAGGAGGAATATGATACAGGGGAGGAGTTGTTTAACAACACTTTGCTGTTCACAGTTCACCACCTCATCGCAGACGACACTGCTTTGCTTAATCTTTGTCGTGATTTCTTAGATTTCTTGAACATGGAGAATGGCAGGATTGATAATGACATCATGACAACAAGTGTTCCTCTATGCCCACCTATTTCCGATCTCCTAAAGCATCACATTACTCTAACTCAACTAGATAAGGTTTTGCTTTCTCTTAAGCCCATCTTCACGCGACTCTTGTATAAGATAGTTGGAAAGCCGAGGAATCAGTTTACAGCAGTGATTCCACCAACTAGCTTATGTGATCCGACTATTTTGAGGAAAACCTGTATTCTCCCAAAAAATTTACCCAAATGTTCCATTTCTGAGCTGGTAGAGAAATGCAAAGAGAACAAATGCACCGTGCATGGAATGTTTACAGCTGCAGCAAGTGTTGCTCTAGCAACCATGTTACAGAATGGTGAACTGCGAATACCAGTGTGTATTCCTTTGAGCTTTAGTGTGAATGTGAGACAGGAGTGCCAGCCACCAATATCAAGCCAAGATCTGGGATGTTTCACATTAGACTGTGGACTTAAGATCCCAGTTCCAGTTTTGCAAGACGTACATGAGCATTTCTGGAAATTTGCACAGAAATGTACACATCAGGTACGGCAAGCTGTTGCGAGTGGAAAACACCATTCGTGTTTGAAGGAACTTCATACATTGGACATTGACTTTGCCCAAACAATGTACAAAATCTCCAAAAACAAGAAGACAGCAGGTCGTTTGGATAGTTTATGTCATGTTTCTAATCTTGGACGACAAACCTTCGGAAAAGAGGGTGAACGGAAGGCTTATGAATGTAATGGAGTGTATTTTGCAGGTGCAGGGCATAATTTTGGCCCTGTCTTTAGCAACAACTTAGTGACCATTGGTGAGGAATTATATTGGAGTATTGTGTATTACAGTAATGTTGTCACCCAGGATGTGGCTACTGAATATGCTGAACTGGTTTTCAAAACTCTAAAAGCTGTTACATAAATACATGTAGTTATCACTGTAAGGTGGTTATTCAATTTTGACATAGGTTCTGAGACAGAGCTTAACCAGTTCACTTACAAGATCTATTAAGTCAGTAAATTTTTTGCCTTGTCTGTCAGACATTTCCTATAATTTTAACCCTGAGAATTAAGCATTTAAGTCCAAAAAATGTCCTCTATTTGATATTTTTTTCTGTCTTGCCATCAGTTTTTGCTTGAAGTGTATAAATATTGTAGGGAGTAAGTTCCTTTTGGTCACTCCAACCTGTTATTGAAAGGGTTAAACTAATGAATGCAAATAAAAAAGCAGACTTGTAAAAATGGCTTTGCATAAGATCAAGCATAGGAAGGCTTCTTAGATGTTTATTTTTTTTTTTTACATAGCTTATAGAGCAGCCAGATATGTCCCTAAAATCAGCCAGGAGGCAATTTATGGTGGGTTAATTGTGAGACATGCCTTTTGTAAACCAAGAAGTGATTTATGTGTGAAAAACCAATTGAGAACTATTGTACCTCAATCTGTGTGTATGTATAACCCGTCATTTATCAAAGAATAGATTATATTGATAATTTACACACTAGACACTCTTCAGGCTTCATCAAGACAATGATTATTTGTGTGTATTACTTTTAAATCCACAGTGATAATTTTAAGTTATGGGACAATATGTACTTGAATTAATGATCAGTAAGGTAATCAAACATGAATTGTTCTTTAGTTATCTTAGCAAATGTTGAAGGTTTAGCTTTAATTTCTACCCGTCACTAATTGTCAGTGATGAAAGATGCTTTAAGTGAGCTGTCATAACATGTATTAGTATAATTTCAGAGCTGAGCAAAGAGTTGCCAGCAATCTGATTGGTAGAGCGGTTCCTTATATGACACTATATAATCTGCTCCACGCAGTTTATATAAAATGTTACAATCAATTGTTATTAAATGTTACTAAAATGTTATGATTTTAGAAATTTCTCTGTTGTTCAGCTCTGAAATTATGCTAAAACAATTATTCGCCACAGGTGTGGTGAATATTGTCGAATAATGCCCTCAACTTCATCGTGGGGATTATTCGACGATATTCACCTCATCTTCGGCAAATAATCATTAAATGTCGTAACTTGAATTGTGACAATTATTTGTTGATAGATGGATAAATAAATGAGTAGATTGAATATAAAACTGCTTTATGTCCATTTTAATTCCCTCATCAAAAAGTTTTCTTTTAGTGCAATAGGTAAACTGTGCTGAGTAAGAAGCAATTAAAGGAAAAAAATAAAAAAGTTGTATAGCAGTGGCCGGAAGCCGACCTTTTGACCCCTAAGAATGACTAACATACAATTTCTCCTTACACTATCACCCTTATTCCAACATTAAGGTCATGAGAATACAGGAAATGATCTCCAACTAAAGAAACTCTTGACTGTTAAACTAATTCTCCTTATCAACACATTAGGAAATGCGTAGAGAACAGTATGGAGGATATGCATATTGATGTTAGGGTGTAGAGAGTGAAGATCGCATTCATGTACAAAAACGTCAACTCAGTCACGAAGCTGTCAACCTTATTATCCTTGCATCTGTGGTATTAACAAACTGAATCAGTGAGGTCTCACAAACTAGCCTGCAATGCAGGTGTCTTATCAAGGCGAGTAAAAGAAGTACGCGGTCGTTTATTCAACTGGCCATGTCTAATTTGGAATTAGAGTCAACGGTAGGGGGAAAGGGCAGGAAGTGGCGTAATATTCACTCCCCCACCCTCACCCCCTCCGTATTTTTCAGTGACTGTCGCTCACTCCCTAGGTACAAATTTCTTTCTCTCCCCAGCCTTCCGCTTCCATCAAAATCAAAGATTGTCAACGACGACGGCCATAATTTTCGCTTAGAAAATACTGAGCATTCGCTCGCCAAAATTACGCCTGCTCTGCAGACTAACCCTGATCAAGTTCCCCTGACCGTATTCCTAAGTCTCCTTGGCTGTTTCCTGTCATATTATTAATGAACTAGGGTTTAATTAATGTTATAGTGTTAATGAATTAGGATTTAAATCATAGGAACCATCACCAGGTGTAAGATGCATGACATGAGAGATCCCAGAGAGTAAACATATATAGCTAAGTTGCATGCATATTGAGGTTGTTATATATTGTGTAACTGTAGTTTAGGTACTGATTATTAAAGTTCGGTCGGCCGTTTTAACCAAGGATTGGCGTCACTTTTCTGCATTAAGACACCCAATTGTACCTGTTCCTCGGACATTGTGTCGAGGAACACAGCACAATTTCATAGCCTAGCCACTGAGCTTATAATTGCAAATAGAGTGAAACACGCGCACCGCGTTACCCATAAACTTTAAGTATTTCATTGAAGTTTCTTTACACACAAGGTATTTCCATTCAGGGTTCAATCACCACTCATTCCCTGAAATTTAGTTATGCCTGTTAAGTGTACCCAGTCTATTGAAATAGCGTAGTCATAATTTCAAATATAGTCCGTACTGAAAAGTCATGATGGTTTCTACTACAACTACCCCCCTCCCAATACGTGCGCGTGCACGTCCATGTTACAGTTCCCTAGTTCCGTTGTGAAAAAAAAAGGGTTAAAAAAAATACTCCTCAATAAAGGCCCTTGTAATTACAGGCGCATCAATAACACTTTGTCTTAACCTTATTATGATTCGCTCCGGTTGAAAAATCTAAAATCGCATTCTCTCCTTCCCTCCTCCCCCCCCC